GCTCCGCATCGCTCCGCATCGCTCCGCATCGCTCCGCATCGCTCCGCTCGTTTCCAGAAAAAGCAGGCCCAGGCACAAGGCACACCAAAGGACAAAGCCTGGTGAGCTCCAGAATCGGATCGATAACTGGCTCTTCAACTGTGCGGTGCGTGACGAGGGCGACCGCGACGAGAGAGGCGACCCGGCGACCCACGGCGTGGGGAGGCTGAGGCGAAGGCGCGAAAAGCGCTGGCGCATGACGTGAGGATGGCGTTGCGTTGCGTGGGATGAGAGAAAGGATTAGTTTCAGAAGTTTGGATGTGTTTCCTGAAGAATCCAAGTGATTCTCTAGAGTTCTCCTAGAGTTTCAGGAAGACGAGTATTTTATGTTCTTCTTCCCTCTGGCATGCACCTTTCCAACTACACTTTCTCTCACCACCTAGGAGGTTCTCGCCTTGGCAGCTTCTTGGTCTTTGCTGCGCTTCACACAAAGTGGAGGTGTTTGCAACGTCAAGGACAAATTGAATGTTGGAGATGTCTTCAAACAAGTGGGATGAAACCACGACCACATCGAGGCACGGCCCAGTCTTCACCTGGACTCTTCATCTCTTCCTACGTGACGGCGTCCCGGTCTGACGCACAAGTGACGGCGTCCCCGCGTGACGCCGGGAGTCCGGCAGAGCAGTCCCCCCTGCCGCACCTGCAAGCCTTCCTTCAGAAGGTTTTGAAGGCACTCGGAGGTGAAGTCTGTACAGTGAGCTGCCACCACGTGCAACAACCCTACGCCAGCAAATTGATAGAGAGGATCTGCACCATACTCCTCGCGACGAACAGCAAGGTTGCGCGCAAGAAAGCATGCAAACACATGCTCCATATGAATTCATCTTCTTGAAGGTTTTATTAATCAGTCTTCATGAATTCATGCTTCATGTGACTCCTTCTCGGTCCGGTCTCCTTCGTTTGACCCAATTGGATGAAGCTATAATACCACCGCTTCTTTCAGGGCGCAGGGCGCAATGACCCCCAGTATTGGACCGCTGCCTATCGAAAGCATGTTGGCATCTAAAAACGGCCTTGACCACGCGATCGAAGCAACCTTCTTCAAGATCTTCACCGAATTGACGGATGTTCTGGGAGGTCGAACGAAAAGGCATTGAGGGATTAGATGGGATTGGAAGTGGGATTGGATTCGAAGCATAGTCAGGTTATTGCCGGATTTGACCTCCAGTCATGTTTCTTTGTTTCTCCAATGCATCAGCATCAATAAATGCTTGTGATTCCCCCTTGCTTGTCATTCCGAAAAATCTCCCCACACTCCAACGAGCTTTGTGTCGGCCCAAAGCCAGACCCCGAAGGCGCTCGCCGCTCGCATCTTGCCCGAAACGCGCTCGCCGCTCCAGTAGGGAGCAGAAAAGACGAGCATGGTCCGATGCCGCTGCGAGCATAATCGGCGTCAAGCACAGCTTGTCTTGGTGGTTCACGTTGGCCGAGCACCTCAACAAGGTCCTGGTGCGCTAACGGTGCGGCGCGAGGTTTCTCCGGCCGAGCACGCAGATAAAGAAGATAAAAAAGGCGGCCCGCACCGGTTTTTCGGGTTGCTTCTTTCAGGGGCGGATGCTGAGGAAAACGGAGGAGCAAGTCTCAACCTTTTGAGTACCGAACCCATGGTTTCAGGTGCCCAAAAATTCATGGCCGTCATGGCATGCGCCCTCAGCTTTGGGCCGCTTTATTGATGTTCAAGCAACACCTAAGGTTCCTCCGCACGCATGAACCATGCCGGAATGACCACATCTCCGTCACTCGCCGTCACTTGTGGGCGCAAGGGGCACCGTTTTGGTGGGGCCTCCAAATGTGTTGCGCAGAGGTGCGATCCTGCGATCGTTCCACAAGAAGAAGCCCTTTCCTCCATGGGGAACCCCCCCCACCCCTGTGGGTGCGGAAGAAGCGGCGACCCCGGAACGACCTTTTTGGGGACACCATGGGAGACCATCGGGGACACCACTTCAATGGGATGGGTGCACCATGGTGAACCCTCGAAGGGGTTTTGCTCTTCAAACTTCCCAAAAAGCCACTGAGAGAGCGGCACAAACACCGGTCCCTACGACCTTTTTGGGAGCGATCATGTGCTGGTATTTTTCTCACCGCGTGCAGGGTGTTATGATCATTGCTCATGCAAAGACTGGCGTCTTCTTTTTGCTGGTCAACCATTTTCAAAGCTGGCTCAAAACATGCGTTCCACAAAGTTCTGCAGGAAACCACCCTGAAACATAGATCCACAGCACTTGGCTAGACAAGTGATCATAGGGGACATCTGGGGCGGCCTTTACCCAAATAGAGTTCAACCCATCAACCAATTCTGCAGGGAGTTGGCATGATCCACCATGATCCACCGAACCCTGAGTCATGTCTTGATGGACATGACCTGAGTCCCCTGACCCTCCCAACCCAATGGCTTCACCAATGGGTAGACGGTCAGTCGACTGCTGCATTTTCCACCGCACCCCACGAGCTCGGAACGGCGATGCTCTTGGACGCCGAACATGCGCCGAAGACTCGGCGGCAAGACTTGGGTCCTGCAACTGGCTTCGTTGCCCATCTGGCAAGCGATCATCAATGGAGTGATCCGGTCATCATCTAAAGCGTCCACCTGACCGACATGGGTTCCAGCGACCGGGAGGGAATCGACCCGATCTATATAATCTCTCCTCCAAGGACCAGGAGTGGTGGGCTGTGGGAAGACGTGGCTGTTCCTCAGCTCGACCCCGTGGCTCTCAGGATTTTAGGGTGCATGTAAATGTTGGATCCTGATTAGTAATAAGGTTCTCAATAATGCTAAGCTTTTCAAACAGTAATTCGACCTCATCTTTGTTTTGAGGGTTCTCTGTTGTGTCATTTTTGGTTGATCCTAATCTTTAATAGTTGACAACATATATATAGTTATATAGTGTTTTTCCCCCAAGAGGAACATCCTTTCCTGAGATCTTAATGCCAGTAAAGCCATGGCACTTGTATAAATGATATAGGTTTCTTTAGTTCTTCTTCAAAACTCACAGCTTAAAAACCATCAATTCTTTAACCAATCCTTTATGTGAAGATTGCTCCTAAACAAATGTTCAAGGTAGTAGAGCAGGAAGGCCCCTGATCCTTAATAATAGATCTGCTTAAGGGCCCTCAATAGTGAAAAAGTGTATTCCCCATGAATATTATATCCTTTCCTGAAATCTCAACACCATTAAGCCAATGACTGGCTGGCTGAGATCTAGTTGCCGATAATAATATCTTACAAAGAACAAAGAACCTGAGACTGAAGGTGCATACTTACAATCTCCGAAATGAAAAGAAAGGAGAATCAATACTACAATCAATTGCAAAAATAGGTTTGTCCGTTGTCTGCCCGTCAGTCTGCTTTTGCTTCTGCTTGCGTTGTGCCCGCCAAGTTGTAGATTTGCACTCTGCAGTTTCGTGCACAATGTCTATACTGTCCGCACTTGTAGCAAATGTTTGTTGCATCTTTGCCGCGTTCCGTTTCCTTTGCCCCGTGCTTGTCTATGCTGGTTCCATCCTTTGCCTTGATATCCGGCATTGCCCTGTCAAATGGGTGTCTGCTGCTAGCCATCGTGTTTTCCTTTTCCTTTCCTTTTGTAGTGCTGCTGATAGCCACCGAACCCGCATCCTTTGCCGTATCCCTTTCCTCCTCTTCCTTTGTAGCAAGGACTCTATTAGGTGGAGGCCATCGCACGTAGGTTGGAGGCCATCGCTACTAGTAACAAGAAGCTACTAGGAACAAATACCTTGTCCTTTTCCTTTGTTCTTTCCTTTGCTTTTGATTGCTCCTATGTCCATAGGTGGCGCACTTCCGCCGTAGCTTGTTCCAATGCTCCAGGACTGTGCCCACATCTTGCTGAATGCTGTTGTTGCTCTATAGACTCTATTGTATTCCATGATTAAAATGAAAGTAAATTGCAATTAGAAGAACCAATAATGATAAATCCTTTAAAATCCTTTAAATGTTTGGAGGTTATCGGTCATTCTATCTCGCTGTATGTTTTGGTTGAGTTGTAGCTGCTGCTGTCAAGGCCCCCATTCTTTCCCTTAGAAGGAAGAATCTTTTTCTTCTCGCCTTCACTTGGTCAGGCGGTGCTGTTGAAGTGTCGCATTCGAAGCTGCAAAGGTCGCCAAGTGTGCTGCTGTTGAAGTGTCGACGTTTTGGCTTTCGCAGTTGTGTGAGGTAGCCGATGCTCCTGTATATCTCGAGAGATGGCGAGTTTTTCGGTGGCATCGTTGTCTATCTATCTCGAAGCCGGCTCCTCGCGTTGGTCTTGTCTGCATATTGTTGCGACTCCTCGCGTTGGGATGCTCTCCTCGCAGTATGCATTTTCAGGTCTGTGCGAACAGAAGGGTACCCATGCACGTCGCCTTCTTCCCTTGTAGATGCTGCTGCCACAAGGTCGACTTCTGTGACGTTGTGACATTGTTTGTTCTGCTTATTGCACTAGCTCTGTGTAGTCATTGTCCAGTAGGCCTATGCATGCCGTGAAAATGTACTTCCATTCTTCAAAGGTGCCATAGTCACCATTGTAGAAAGGAGGCTTCAGCTTGTATCGGTGTATTGATGCTAGCTGATAGTCCTTGTTGTTCATCTGCTTGTGCTGCTGGTGAGTCCATTTCAAGTTGTGCCGGTCCATTTGATGCTTGTGCCATTGTTGCACTTCAGCCCCGAGTGTTCTGGGATCAAGGCTTACTCTGACTTATATACTCTAGTTACTCTAGTTTATTGTCTCAGTTGTGCTTGCTTGTGTGTTGGGCTCTGCTTGCTCTTGCTTTGTTGTCAGAGCTCACCTGGAGATGTTGCCAGGATCACTGCTCTGCTACCATGTTAAATGTCGAACGTTTCGTTTGCGCACACTGTGATTGTTTGTTCCTGAGCTCAAGGGCCCTGCAGTATTGTCACTGACTCATTGTGACATTGTATTTCACCTCTCTCTCTCTCTCTATGTCTCTCTGTGTCTCTCTCTCTCTCTCTATGTCTCTCTGTGTGTGTGTCTCTCTGTGTGTGTGTCTCTCTCCCTCTCTCTCTCGATGCTTGGTTGTCATAGCAGAGGACAATCATTAAACTCATTTACAGTACTCTCTATCACCTAGACCATCCAGCGGGGCGTCCCATCGAAACCTACGAGTCGGGTCCGTGACACGGGCTGTCCGTCGAGTCGGGTCATGCCATGGAATTCATGCTTAGCAGGGGACTCAGCTCCCATCAGCTCCAAGATGCAAAACAAGGGACCTCATAACAGACTTCCACCATCTTCCAGTGTTGTTCCCTTTATGATCAACCACACATTTTTCCCATATACTAGTAATGTATATACTTTACATATATGCAATTATTATATGCATTATTACACAAATGCTTTGGTAGGTGGCATTCTTTCAAACATTCCAACTGTATTGTAGCTGATAAAAGATCTTAGATCCTCAATTCTCCCGGACATGCTCCACGCCATCCCCCAAGAACACATCGGACTCCGCTCGAGTCGTGCCACGTCTGAGTCGTCCCGTGTGGGGCCTGGCCTCGGCTTTACGTTGCAGTAGGGCTTCTGCTACTGCGGGATCCCGAGAGAAGGCGGCCCAAACCTCCGTGTCGGCGACGGCACCGGCACCCCACACGGGGCACCACACACGTCACATCGAACGAATTGGCCAACGGCGACGGAATGGAACGAAGGGAACTAGTTCCAAGGGGGGTGAATTGTTAACATGCCATTGATCTGAACATGTTCTGACCATGTATAACTGATGGGCCAGGCTCATAGACGTGCTGGCTGTAGTACATCATTTTCATCGTTCAGTTTGGATGTCAAAAAGCTGCGAGCTTAGCATGGCTGATGGGTGGTACCAAGAGGATAGTAAATGCCCCATTTGAGTACTACCCCAAATCCTGCCACCCTGACATGCGCTGACGGAGGCACCAACCCCAAAGATGCTGCCCAGCCACATGCAGGGGCGTTTGCCCACATTGTAATTGGAAGTCCAAATCCTCGGCGCAGGATTGAGGGGTGAGTTCGGAGCTGTGGGGGAAGGGTGAAACAAAAACAGGTCCAAGTTGAAATCATTGGAACATCTATGATGCACGGACCCGATGGCCCTCCGAACCCGGATCGGAGCACCCTGTGCCCGACTGTTTTGGCGCTGCACCACCCGTTTTCAGGGTCCAGGTGATCAAGCGCCAAAGCACCAAGAGAGGTTGAAGAACCCGACTGTTCGGCTCTCCCAGTTCGGTACCCCCAAATAAAACGGGTCCTATGAAACCGGTCACTGGCTACCTCTGTTGGCAAGCTGGGATGAGACGGGATGAGATCCCCATGACACATCGGTACACTCGGGTGACGCATCGATGCATCGATGCATCGATCCTGAGGTTCCAAAAACGCGCTCGTCTACGAGGAGTAAGGTAGCGAGGTAGCGTTCGGATGGATCAAGTGGGACGTGTTGCGCTTTGTTTCCTCGGTCTTATATATATATATATATTGTACTATAGATCTTCCAACGACAAAAAAATCTGGTAGTTTTGGTTATTGACCCAGTTTTCCGCGCAAACGCCCGCAAATCAGCGCAACCAAACGACCAGATTTTTTGGTAGTTCTATCAAATATTGTATAAAGGTTGGTAAAGGTCTTGGATCAGGTAGGACACTTGTATGAAGGCGTAGGTTCCACAAAGGATGGTGCCAGTGTGCTTCGAACAATGTGAGGGCACTAAAAAAATACCAGTTGAATAAGAATATCCAATCCAACTTCCAATCTTCCAATCCAATACTTGTTGGAAAGAAACAAATCCGTATGACAGAAAGGATAGAGTCTTCTTCAAAAGACCGATCCTCAAATTGTGCATCATCATGTTTTCATTACAGTAGCCTGGATTTAGACGTTCCTATACACTCTAGGTTTCACACACATTTAACGTCTTTTTTGGGTGCCAAGCTCAACTCGAGGTTCTCTGGGGACAGTTCATTGAGTTCTCCAGAAGATGCAGTGGATTCTGTGATTGTGACATCCCAAATGACCAAATGCTTCCGCGTCGCTTTACATTGAGTGCATGCGTTCACATCTGCGTCGGCCTCGCACCCAAGAAACGAGAACACCGAGGAAAACGGTTCCCGGCGTTTGGAGAGAAGCATGTGTTTTCGCTCTTTCTCTTGGATACCATGGAAACTTAGAGAGATTCGATTGCCCAGGGAGGTCAATGAATTTTCGGACGAGTCTGTGCCAAATGGAAAGCCCATCTGTGTGCCCTTGACGAACACCAGATGCGCAGGTGCGTGCCGCGTGCGTGCCGCGTGTGTGCCGCGTGCCTGCCTTGAGAAGGGTCCTAACAAGCTCTACATCATCCAAAGCCGCCGCATAGTGCAAGCCCGGCCAGAGACCACTGCTTGAGCTCCTGTCCTGAAGCGGTATACACGGAGACCATACCCGACCTTTCCGACAGGTCTGAAGGAGTGCGAAGATGTGCGAACCCAAAGGACCATCTCAGCTGGTTTTATGTGTATCAGCAACACCCTGTCATACCCCAAGAGTTCCCCATACTAACAATATCGAGCTGCTGTTTTTGGTCCATTCTTCCAAGTCGACATTCTCTGCTCCGGCACAATAGCTTGGGAACCTGTGAGTGAAAACATCTAGCGAATCAAACACCCCGCACGTCCAGAGACGCCCGCACGTCCAGTCACGTCTGAAAACACCGGTGGAGTCCTTGGTCCGAATGCGCGGCATGGTAATCTCGAAGCCGCGACACTTCAGCAACTCCTTACGGAGATTCTGCAGCCTGGGCGAAGCTGCGCCTTTCAACGGCGGGTTTTCGAGCCGAGTTTCATCCCAAAAAACATCCCCAAACCCACCGGTTCGACCCCTGTTGGATGTTTGCTGGCTTTTTGGAGACTCCGGGCAGGGAAACATATGGAAACGAGCCAAAGCAATTGACCAAACGACGACTGGTGCATGACAATGAAGGGGGGTGATGAACTCAAGAAGAGGTCTATCAGGTCAAGGGCCTTCATGTGATTGGAGTTGATTATACAAAAGGGCTCAATGAGGTCAAGGACCAGGTTTTACTGGGTCAGACTGGACCTGTAGGGAGAGGATGAATCTCCAAAGATGCCTCTGTTCCCTCGTCACACCCCTGAAATCCAAACGCTGTGTTGACCCTTAGGGAAAGCTTCATGCAACTCACAGCACCTCCATGCCCCCAAGTCTGTCTTCCAAGTCTTCCAAGAGATTGGTCTGTGACCACTTCGGGTACCCCCCCAGTCAACCAACCCCATCCTCGGACATGGAAACCTTTTCTGGGCGGTCCGGCAACCCCAAGTGCACAAAATCCACTGAAACATGTTGAAGATGACGTAATGCTAGCAAAAAGAAACGATAGTCCTGCAGTTATAGTTGTGTTCATTTACCCTGTTAATATGTTTTTCTTCTATGTCCGAGTTGTTATACACTCTCAATACGGTGATTGAGACCCTTGAGCAACGTCCCTGCAATGGTTACTGGAGTGTATATATATATATATATTGGTTCCATTTCAGTTTGCTCAATTCGGTTTGGAGTGATCCCCAACGAATGCCCAAATGTGTGTTCCAAACAGTTGGAATGGCACCAGAAACAGCCTCTTGTTCAAGGACATCCTCAGTCTGGTCATTCTCACTCCAGTCAAGCAAGATGCTGTCATTCTTGATTCTGTCATGTCTTGTCTGGCAAGTGGAGGCTCCAATGCTACCCTTTAGAAAAGAAAGTACTTCAGTGTTTGGATGACCCATGTCCCTCCAAAGTTCCTCCCCTCAAACCCCAACATGCCTGTACTCTTGAACACGATAATCTTAGGAAGCTCCATGCTCCCACCGCTACTTGGAGTTTCTTGGGCAAATGGTTGGTCTTCACATGCTTTCATACATTTGTAGATATTTCTACCATCATGTCAAGAAGAAGCCTGCCAAGTGCCACCAATGGGTTACAACATAGACACCAGGGGAATTGTCATAAACACATGCAAAAACATCTCCTCTCATCCAAACCGATATTCATTTTGCTCATAACTGAGCTCAGCAGCAAGTGGAGCCTGTGCGCGTTGTTGGAGGATCCTTGGTGCACACGTGGAGGATCCCCCTAGGGGCAGGGATTCCCTCGTCGGTATCATCAAGATCCATCAAGTCTGCTGTCAAAAAAAAGGATCCGAAATCCCCAAAAATAGCAAAAAAATGAGCGAGTCAACTTGACGAAGTCATTCGAGCCTAAACCCCAAATCCAGTCATCACTTGCAAGCCAAAAAAATGCAGCTCTCAACAAGAAACCCCGAACCTGGTCTGAAAAGATGTGGGGACGGTCCGGGGATGGTCCTGGATCCCTGGTCCACCATGTAGCTTGACCTTGCAGGTAGGTCAACCGCTTGGTATCCTCGTGTCATGACCCACAGCCATGTCATCCCCATTCCATGTACTCGCATCGATGCCACGCTTTCGCATCCATGCCATGCCAAAGGCTCGCAGAGAGTCTTCCATGTGCTCCATGACTTGCTGCAGTGCATCAGCGATGAAGTATCTGTCTTCATCCTGCAAAGAGAATATGACCAGGCCATAGAGCACCCTGGTGGCCCCCCCAACATGAACCGATTTCTCAGTTGATGGAGGTCAACCGAACATAACCGAACCCATGGTTTTGGTGGGGAAGGTTTGAACTCACAGCCACCACCAAAACCACCACAGCCAGGCGAACAAGAGTTGATGGATTTCCCCTTTGGCCCCCAAAAGTCCTAGTTCTGGTCGTTTCACCGTGTAAGCCTGAAGACACGGTTCGTTTGATGCTTCGCATGAGGCCCAGATCCAAGCTCGTAAGCCTTCGGTGTCACACTATTTCTTGTGGCACGTTGTTCTGGTTGGCTGTGGTCCCTGCTTCTCATGTCCCATTTTGCCCCTAGTCATGCCACTTGCTCAGAGTCACACCACCTGTGCTGGGCTCGGTTCACAATGGACGAGGTCGTCATCGTGTGTCCAGGACCCAGTCGTGCCTGTGTCTGCTCCCTTGACGAAGAAAGTATCAAGCACCGAGAGCACCGTGCAGTCAAAAGCACCGAACTCCGTCAACCCTCACAGTCCGTGGTGGCTTCTCTCACCTTTTGTGTTTCTCCAAAAGGCTTGGGGTTGCAGAAAGCGTTGACCTTTGGGTGCAATCCAAGACATGGTGGCCAGCATGGCCAGCACTCCCAAAAAGGCTTGGATTTGCAGAACGTGTTGACATTGAGCTCCGTGTTTGAGGGGCCATGCCGCCGTGCCGCCTTCGTAAAGTCGCCGCAGCAGGGCGAGAGCTGCCAAAAACCTGCGTTTCGACATGAGCATCGATGTGCCTTGTAAAGACTGGGAAAAGGGTGTGTGTGTGTGTGTGTGTTTTGTGTGTATCTGTTCTTTTTTCAGGGCAGACGCAAATCCACATTCCACCGGAATGTTCATGGTACCTGTCAAGACATAGATAGGTCATGAACATCTTGAATGTAAAACGGTTCAACTGCAACAAGGATGCTTCTAGTTTCAAGTTGCAAACCTTCTGTAAAGTGCATGACGTTGCTATAGTATACTAAAAGTCTAGATGTATATATATATATATAATGATTGTGTTGTTGCTGTCGTCGTCGACGTCGTTGTTGTTGTTTTACAGAACATGTATTTTTGCCAACCACTCACATCCAACTCAGCTCTACATGTCCGGTTTCGTTCAGGGCGACGCCATGAGGAGCACACGACGCTTGGTCAGAGAAAGCCCTTGGTCGGTGATGTGCTGAGAGAAGGCGACGCTTCTTCTCTGATCCTTATCATTCCTTATCTGTCGTCTCCTATTCAGCTGCCACTTCGTGCCACTTCACCGTCACATAAAGGAAACCGATCCCAGCAATGCTTCGCTTCAAAACTGTTTCCAACGATCAAAGGTCTTAAACTGTTGACAAGTTGACAGGCATCTTGCATGCCGAGCTCCGTCACGTCCGTCACGTCCGTCACGTCACTTCCGTCCTTGGCCTTCCGTCACGTCACTTCCGTTTCTTTCGGCCCCAGCCATTTGGTGTCAGAGAAACTGAGGTAGTGCACATGCCACACAGTCTTGGTGTCCACATTCAGCACAGGCTTGGTGCCGCTGCCTCGGCCGGTTGGTTCGACTCCACTCCGAGCGAAAGCGACGAGGCGAAAGCAGCGAGGCGAAGCGGTCAAGGCCTGTGGAGCTCAGAATCATCTCTGTACATTCAGCCCGATTTGTTGTAGTTTCTTTTATAGTGGATTGAGAGTGGATGGCACAATCCCCCAAAGATGGGACATCATGGGGTCTGTGCCATCTGAAACGACTGTAACCTCCAAGATTTGGGAGCACCTCGTGCGAATTCCGGAATTTCTGGATGTTCCTCATTCGCTATATTTGATATTAGAAAAACCAGGCACAACGGTAGTCACTCTCACCAATAATCATCAGGTGGCCTTTCACCATCAGTCGAGATGCCCAAGAGGCCATTCACAGCCAGCTCGAACTGACACCAGCCACGGCTCTTCCACGATGAGTAACCTGGGTTCATCTGGGACCCATCAGCACTTGCGGAAAAAAGAACAACACACAGGAAAAAACTACACAGAAACACATCACTCCGTCCTCGGTCGTCAGTCGTCCCGTCGCGTAAGACCTCTTCAAACATCGTCCGATCGCTTAGCTGCTCGGCCGTGCGTGGACATATCTTCCGCCCAAAGGCTCATCAGCCGACCCGACGTGTGGTATTGAATCGGTGCCAAGACCACAAAGAAGGAGCAATGCCTCAGGTCTTGGGGGTCCTTGGGGGTCTTGGGCTTCGGCTGACCGATGTCTTTTGACATCAGGGGCTTGTGAAATGGGGTTTGCGATGGCGGGAGGAGACAAGGAAGGCTGGAAAACCGGGAAGAAACAGACTAGAACACATGATGTGCCACAATGTTATAGTCACTACACTAGTCACTACAGTATGCCATACTGTATATTACTGTATTACAGTTGTGTACGTACTGATGCAAGGTTTTTCATCTTCAATAAAATAGCTGAGCAGTCACAAACCGTGGCAATACAGTATAAATCCTGAAAGTGTTCGGCTGAATCAGTGCAACAGAAAGGACCCTTTTGGATGAACCACAATGAAACACCTCCCAAGAAAAGGCCGAACCTTTCGATGCATCCACGACATTTCACGATCCATCACAAGACTCGTCACCCCAGCAAGGAGGACAAAAACACACAAGCTTGTGACATTGTGCCCAACAAAGGTTGTTTGATCCCCACAGTCAGAGCATATGTTTCGAAGGGTAAACATCCTGTGGGGAAGGGGGCACCTAGAGGTTTCATGTTCCCGTCAGCAGGATCTAAAAGGAGTCGGAACCGCCGACGGACAGCAGCCTGATCCCCGACAGCCGTACGTCAAGCACCTGCTTCGTGGCGAGGTCTCGTTCACGCTTAAACAGCCAACGCAAACAAGAAGCTCTTCCTCCTGTTGCGCAGCACAGAAGTAGCATCAACGGATCAAGGACACCCGAAAAGGACCCGAAGAGAAGGTGTGTATGCCGACACCGCCCCACTTCTTCTCCAAGCTTCCTCCGCTCAGAGCATCGTTCTTTTATTACGTTTCCGGATTTGTTTGGCAAAAGAAGGGACATGCCACAAGCCAAGGAGCCCCAATGGAAAAAACCGGACATCCCGGGGAAAACGACATCGCGAAAGCATCGACATGACCAGTTGCGCCACGTAGGTATGCAAGCTCATGACCTGAGACACCATGGACGGTCATGGAAAAGGAAGTACGGTATATCGGTATATACTGCAGTGGAGTAGATGAGTAGATGGCACAAACATGCACTGGCACCCCCAAAGATGTCTTGTAGATCAGGGTTCCAAATCGAAACCTTCGAACTTGGGGGGGAGGGCTGTGCCCATTGATATACTCTGAAACCATGTGAAACCACGGTCCAATACTCTGAAACCACTGCCGGCTCTCATAGGTCACTCGGTCACCTGATTCTGCCAAGACGAGGCAATCGAAGACTACGTGAAACGGACGGACCCGAACCAACCACTGTTCCTGTTGCCGGCGGCATTCCTGCATTCCTGGACTACCAAAACTGTGGGACAGCCTCTGGGACTTCCTCGTGTGCTCTACGAAGCGGCATATCGGCACGTTCAAGTGTTTTTTTTTTTTTTTTATGACATGCTTCCACTCTTGCTTTCAGCAGGACAGCGGCTGCACGAACTACTGTGGAATATCCACTCTCTCGTGTGATCTCGGAGTGTCCCCTCCAAAAGATTCTACCTCACTCCAACGTGTTTGGTCCTCACTTCGACCACGGCCTGTATCAGTCGTCAGACACGGGGACTTGAGTTGGTGGTTTAGCAGATTCAATCCGAAGCTGCTCAACTACTTCCACTCCCAATTCCAACTTCAAGTGACTTCAAGTCTTTTGTACTTATACCCCTCTCCTCCACCCCAAAACACCCTCCCACCCAGCGCGGTTCCGAACCGGCAGCCGCTCCGCGCGTTCCCGTCGGGCCGCTGCCGCCCGCATGTCCTCTTGCACCTGGCGTCGCTCCGCCGCCGAGGTGCAGTGACAGACCTCACTGTGCGGTGGCGGAACGCAGCAACCACCCACAGACATGGTCGACTTGGTCGATCTCGACTTGACCGGACGACCACACGTATGACAAGCAGAGACCAGCAACTTGGATGATCTTGATCCGTGGAGTATTGGAGGCATAGGTGTGGTAAAAGAATTGTGAAGACCCGAGTGATCGAGGGTGTGCATGATGCAAAGGATTTGGTCTGCGGGGCTTGACAGTCGAACTGACTCCACAAACATTCCATGTGCAATAAGAACAACTGCAGGATCCCCGCTTATCCCGCTTTGGCCACCCACATGGATTGTAGGCAATATATTACTTAAATATGCCAGCCACATGGATTGTCTTGATAGGCCAGTGAGCAAAAGGAAACCATTGTTTGTCGTCAGACTCAGTCTGCAGTTTTCCTATAGGGTTGTATGTCCCTGTGTAGTTTTGATTCCGAAACCCTCAATTTTCCTCTCGGACACCCCTGCTCCTTTGAAAGCCGGAACGCGGCTTTAAGGAGGAACAAGACCGCGTTCCGCGCGCCTGCGGAATGGAAAGGAAGTCGATCCAAAAGTAGCCTTTCGGGATGCCTTTCAGCTCCTGGATGGGCCGGGATGGTGGCCTTGCACATCAAAAGCGTGGGATAGTTACTGGATAGTCGGACTGCTTGAGCTTGGGTTCTTGATTCTGGACTCCCATCCAATCTCCTATAGCAAAAACAAACATTAACCAACCCTGGGCTAATCCACTTTGAAAATGGGCCGCACAAGTCCACCAATCCACTCATCTCATGTCGAACAAAAGCTCCTTCTTCGTTGAAAAAACCATCAGGCATGGCGGCATGGCCCTTCTTCGTTTCCACATCAGCTCATGTTGGGCGTGTGACTCCCGCCCCCCCAAAACACACGCGGCTCCC